TCTATCATGAGACTTGAATAGGAATTATGTATTCTATAGAATATTATAGATTGATGAACATGATGGATCTGATACAGATGAGAAGGTGCCGATCGATAAAACGCGAGCAGTATATGTACAAATGAACAATATCTGGAACTCAAAACAACTGTCTGTCAATCAACACCAAAGTCACAATTTTCAATACAAATATCAAAACAGTTCTACTGTATGAGGTGGAAACCTGGAGAACTACGAAAACCATCATCCAGAAGATACAAATGTTTATTAAAAGTTATCTATGCAAAATACTTCAGATCCGTTGATCAGACACTATCGACAACAACCTACTATGTGAGAGAACAAACTAGATGTGAGAGGAGGAAAAAATCAGGAAGAAGTGCTGGAAGTGTATAGGACACACGTAAAGGAAATCACCCAACTGCTTCACAAGACAAGCTTTCACTTAGAATCCTCAAGGCCAAAGGAGGAGGGGGAGGAGAGCAAAATCAAAGAATGCATCACGCCGAAAAATGGAGACAGACGTGAGAAGAATGAACGAAAATTGGATAGAACTCGAAAGGAGGGAAGACTGGGAAAGATTGAGTTGGAGAATAACAGTCGGTGGATTGTGCTCTATTACGAGTAACAGGCGTAAGTAAGTAAGTAAGTAGGTAGAATATTATAGTTATTCAAGGAGTATAATACAGTGAAATAAATTTGGAAAGAGGAAAAAAGACAAGGAGGATTCAGAAGATTAGAATTTGGGAGGACACAAAGAGTGGATGCACATGCGCCATTGCAAACGATTTTGAGCCATGTCATTCAAAGTCTTTAACTATCGGTTGCTATAGTCTCGCGGATCCTAACCAGGCAGTCTACACCCACCAACATGGCTGAGTCCACTTATCAGTGACTTCATGGATTTGTGCCATGTTTTGGTTTGGCCACCGCTACCTTTCTTTCAACCAACTCCTACACCATAAAACATCGCACGTCGGGGCAGTCGGTGATTGAGCATGTGTGACACGTGTCCCAGCCATCTCAACAGATGAAGTCTCATTACTTCATCAATTGATTTGTCATCTTTATATAATACCCATCTCCTGTAGACCTCGATCCTAATTGATTGTCGTTGACGTTTAACCTGTAATTATTAACTTCTTTATTTTGACTGTATCTCCCATTCATTTGATTCTTGGTCCCATATTTATCCATGATTTTTTCTGATTGGTTGGTAGATTGGATCAATTTTAATGTAATTGTCGATTGCCGATTAACCTTATTGCTAAACTTTTAGAAATCCTTTGGTACTTTAAGTATTTCCTCTATCTAAGATCTTAATATTTTTCCAATCAAATGTATGTCCACAGTTATCCCTATGCATTGATATAAGTAAGCATATATCATGGAGTTTGAAGTTTCTGCTGATAATGTCATCCATAAGAACAATGAAAGTTTCACAACTAAACCAACCAGTTCAGAGAATAAAAATCCGTCTAAATCATTTATCTGAGATGTCATCTCAAATTCATATCATTATCTGATGTGGCTGAAGAGAACTTAAGAAATCGAAACTCATTTATCTATATTTCTCTATCTTTTACGTTATTCAAATAGGGGGAAAAATTGTATACAATGTAAATTCCAATTGAACATATATGAATTGAACTATTCGATTAAATATTCTATGATAAAAAATGTTCTCTGATTGTATAAATATCACAACAACAACAACAACAAATGGTAGCCAATTAATCAATAATAAAATGAAATAATTAATTCGTCCATATTTATTATTATTCTAATAAATAATAATAATAGCAATCTTGGCGTGAACAATAATGTACACAATGTTTATTATACATAGTGATAGATGTAATCTTAGTAATGAGCATAGTATTAGTAAAAACATTTCCATTATATATATATATATATAGAGAGAGAGAGAGAGAGAAAGGGGGAGAGAGATGGGAAGAGAGAGCTAAATATATAGATAGATAGTTATAGATATATTGACCTATGGTGCATCAGTTATTTTCTTTCTATTTTTTTCTTTCTTTTCTTCTCATACTTATCATGTTATTTATTCGCTAAACAATAAAAATAATCGATCAATATATTGATCATAATCAAAAATGTTTTAATTTCATGTGAAATATTGATAACTCATCATTATGATATTTTACAATACTTCTAGTTAAGTTACTTACTAACTTACGCCTGTTACTCTCAATGGAGCAAAGGCCATCGATATGCGTTATCCAACCCACTCTGTCCTAGGCCTTCTTCTCTAGTTCCATCCAAATCTTGTTAATTCTTCTCATGTCTATCTCCATTTCCCAGCGTAATGTGTTCTTTGGTCTTCCTCTACTCTTCATTCGGTCTTGAGAATTACAAGTGAAGAATTCCCTTGTGATGCAGTTGAGTGATTTCCTTAATGTGTGTCCTATACACTTCCAGCACTTCTTCCTGATTTTTTCCTCCTCTGACATCTAATTTGTTCTCTCACATAGTAGGTTGTTGCCGATAGTGTCTGGTCAACGGATCTGAAGTATTTTGCATAGACAACTTTTAATAAACACTTGTATCTTATGTATTATGGCTTTCGTAGTTCTCGAAGTATCTGCCCCATACAGTAGAACTGTTTTGATATTTGTATTGAAAATTGTGACTTTGGTGTTGATTGACAGACAGTTGTTTTGAGTTCCAGATATTGTTCATTTGTACATATGCTTCTCTTGCTTTGCCGATCCGCGCCTTCTCATCTGTATCAGATCCAACGTCTTCATAAATGATGCTGCCCAAATATGTAAAGGTTTTTACATCTTCCAAATCTTCTCCATCAATCTTGATTGGATTGGTGCATGCTGTGTTGTATCGGAGAATCTTGCTTTTCCCTTTGTGTATATTGTGACCTACTGCTGTAGAGATTGCTGCTACTCTGGTCGTCTTCTCCTGCATTTGATGTTGCGTGTGAGATACAAGAGCCAGGACATCTGCGAAGTCTAGATCGTTCAGCTGCATCCTATCTGTCCACTGTATCCTGTGCTTCTCAGCAGATGCTGACATCTTCATGATCCAGTCGATCACTGGGAGGAAGAGAAAGGGTGAGAGTAAGCAATTTTGCCTGATTCTGGTTAAGTGAATAATAATTATTATTATTATGATAAGTGGTTAACACTAAAGTTTATCAGTTAATCAGTCAGCTACAACATAGGAACAGGCACATATGTGAAGCGGTCCAAGTTGCCATAAATCATTAGCACAACAAGATGAACACCGAATTCATAGAAGAGGTTAATTCGTATGAAACTGTTCATCAGCGTGCATCCATTAACCCCCACGTGTAACTCGAACCCACGATTCACGTACGAGGTGATGGTCTACTTTAGATCAACTCATAAATTCAACTATTAAAATGAATAAAATCTCCACAAATTCTCATGCTAATTATCATACTAATGTTTAATAACTTTCCCACTGATCTAAATCTATATTTGGATATTTCATTGACAACGTATAAAATCAATTACATGAATCGCCTTTTAAGAGGTGCCCATTTAGAAAAACAAACAAACAATGAATTCCACATACTTTGGATACCTTTTCAGTTTGTTTGTTTCTTTATGATTCATAATATTTATACTAAAAAGAATGTTTGTTTGACTTTAGTCTTCAAGTCACGAACTATTTGTGCTTTTATATAAACAGAGGAATCTGATCTCTTTCATTAGTTAATTGGTTATTACTCGTTTATAATAGGAGAGATTATAGTAATTGTTTTGTTCAAATGACCATTACTATTGTTGCTTGCTGAACCCAGCTTATTATTATGTAATATGCCAACGAGCCGTTTTATGTAAGTCGACAACGTCGAAGAATATATACTCATGTAAATATTTTGAATTACACTTCATCACTGATATTGGCTGTGTACGTGTATATACAAGAATATATATGTAGATATTTAAAAGAATAAGGACTAAACGTTTTCGTTGAAGTGATCATCAGTTATTCACAAGTCTAGAGTATCTTCCAAATATCTGTCTAAAAGCATTAAAGGTTGCTACTGTTGACGTGTAATATCATTAAATTAAATTACTTACTTACGTCTGTTACTCCTCGTTGAGGAACATAGGCCGCCCACCAGCACTCTCTATTCACTACTGTCGTGGTCAATCATTTTCAGTTCTTTCCAGTTGTTATTCATTCTTTTCATATCTTCTTCTTCTTCGGTCTTCCGCTTTTTCGCTTCTCTTCAGGATTTCAAGTTATGGCTTCCTCGTGATTTGCGTAATGTATATCCTATCGATTTCCATCGCCTTAAGAAAGTTATAAACTATTAGATTACGACTGTATGACTAATTGGTATTATTCTCACATTGAGTATTGAGTTTATCAAGGTATGATGTTGTGATTGTATTCTTATTGTGAGTTCTAACCTATTAATGTAAACTATTTTACTGCTTTCTGGTGTCAGTCCGGGATGAAATTAATCTTCACACTAGGACGAGTGGAGAAGAAAGTTAAGTGATTAGAAGCCGTTAGAAGGATATACACGACCTATGTCTCTTGCTATTCAGAACTCCTCAGTAAGGTGTACTTGTGCTGTATCTGTAATCCCGGCTAATTATCACGTGGTTTATTCGACAATGGTAATGCGACTTATACAATCTTAGTACTATGTCAAACCAATGATGTTGACCGGTATGAGCAGCCTAGTGTCCTTATTGATCCTTTGTTCTCATAGCCCGTCCAGTTGGAACCAGAACGCCAGTTACAGCTTCCACTATGCGAATCATTCATTTCAAACATAATTGGTCTATAAACCAGCCAAACACACCGCATCACTCCATAAATAGGAAATAACATTTACACAAGATCAAATCAAACAGTGGCTGTGAACGTGGGAGACGGCAATTAATAAACAGAGTATAATCTAAGAAAAGTAAATCGTATCATAATAGTCTATAGGTGAAAATGCAGCTTATAATATGGGGAATATGAATATACATAATCTATGCAACAAGTATAGTAGTAGTAGTAGTAGTAGTAGTAGTAGTAGTAGTAGTAGTAGTAGTAGTAGTAGTAGTAGTAGTAGTAGTAGTAGTAGTAGTAGTAGTAGTAGTAGTAGTAGTAGTAGTAGTAGTAGTAGTAGTAGTAGTAGTAGTAGTAGGAGTAGTAGTAGTAGTAGTAGTAGTAGTAGTAGTAGTAGTAGTAGTAGTAGTAGTAGTAGTAGTAGTAGTAGTAGTAGTAGTAGTAGTAGTAGTAGTAGTAGTAGTAGTAGTAGTAGTAGTAGTAGTAGTAGTAGTAGTAGTAGTAGTAGTAGTAGTAGTAGTAGTAGTAGTAGTAGTAGTAGTAGTAGTAGTAGTAGTAGTAGTAGTAGTAGTAGTAGTAGTAGTAGTAGTAGTAGTAGTAGTAGTAGTAGTAGTAGTAGTAGTAGTAGTAGTAGTAGTAGTAGTAGTAGTAGTAGTAGTAGTAGTAGTAGTAGTAGTAGTAGTAGTAGTAGTAGTAGTAGTAGTAGTAGTAGTAGTAGTAGTAGTAGTAGTAGTAGTAGTAGTAGTAGTAGTAGTAGTAGTAGTAGTAGTAGTAGTAGTAGTAGTAGTAGTAGTAGTAGTAGTAGTAGTAGTAGTAGTAGTAGTAGTAGTAGTAGTAGTAGTAGTAGTAGTAGTAGTAGTAGTAGTAGTAGTAGTAGTAGTAGTAGTAGTAGTAGTAGTAGTAGTAGTAGTAGTAGTAGTAGTAGTAGTAGTAGTAGTAGTAGTAGTAGTAGTAGTAGTAGTAGTAGTAGTAGTAGTAGTAGTAGTAGTAGTAGTAGTAGTAGTAGTAGTAGTAGTAGTAGTAGTAGTAGTAGTAGTAGTAGTAGTAGTAGTAGTAGTAGTAGTAGTAGTAGTAGTAGTAGTAGTAGTAGTAGTAGTAGTAGTAGTAGTAGTAGTAGTAGTAGTAGTAGTAGTAGTAGTAGTAGTAGTAGTAGTAGTAGTAGTAGTAGTAGTAGTAGTAGTAGTAGTAGTAGTAGTAGTAGTAGTAGTAGTAGTAGTAGTAGTAGTAGTAGTAGTAGTAGTAGTAGTAGTAGTAGTAGTAGTAGTAGTAGTAGTAGTAGTAGTAGTAGTGATATTCACGAAAGATACATACTATGCATTAAATTGAAAATGAATGATATTCCTTTCATAAGTACAGTAACAGTATGATTCAAGTTGAAGTTTACTATACAAAATATCACGGAAACAGTAATATTTTATGGAAAATTGTTTTGTTTTTTGTATTTTTTTTATTTTAGAAAACATCTACACACTAAAACTCATATTGGTGTACTGTATTATCCATCATATGATCATATTATGCAATTGTTTTAATCATATTACACTTGAATAATTTAAACGCTACTATCTAATTGATTGCCCCAATTTTTTTATTGAATAATATAATACAATATTCCCTATGGCAAACAGTTCTCTTTCTTTTTTTATACAATATAAACTCAGTTCATTACGGTCATGGTAAAATTTCATTTGAAATAAAAGAACTGTTTTTTTTCGTTACTTGGTGACAGATATTCTCACTTGCTTACTTACTTACTTACTTACTTACTTACTTACTTACTTACTTACTTACTTACTTACTTACTTACTTACTTACTTACTTACTTACTTACTTACTTACTTACTTACTTACTTACTTACTTACTTACTTACTTACTTACTTACTTACTTACTTACTTACTTACTTACTTACTTACTTACTTACTTACTTACTTACTTACTTACTTACTTACTTACTTACTTACTTACTTACTTACTTACTTACTTACTTACTTACTTACTTACTTACTTACTTACTTACTTACTCCTGTTACTCCCAATGGAACATAGGACGTCGATCAGGTTTGAATTATTTTTTTTGGTTAGCGTTTTTTTTAGCGAGTTAGTTTTCTACGTGATGGGTTCGCTAACCCATCCTCCTTTATTCGGGTTTTAATAGGCAGTACCCGCAGAGCAGCTCCAGGCGGAGTTGGAGACGGATATTCATGATTCATTAATTGGTAGAAAAATAGACAGTCATGTTCTTATATCTAGTACTATAAAAAAGAAAAAAACTACATTCCTAGATTATATAAATATGGTCTCATTTCTTCAATGAAAATGTCTTTAATACTGTTATAGATTATCTTGAGTAAATATAAATTAGCTTTACAGAAAAAAAAATAAAAAAGCTGACCACCTCTACTTGAAGTTTGTGCTACTGATGATGTCGTTCAGAAGAAGAAGAAGAACAATAAAAGCTTCACGACCAAACCATCCAGTTCAGAGAACAAAATCCCATCAAAACCAACAAACAAACATTAATCATTGAATCATAGTGTTAAAAGAAAACTGTCAAATATGTTTATTGACATTGTCGCTTAATTATTATTAAACCACAAGAATAAAACTATTTATCCACTAGATTTACTGGCATGTTGCTCATTTACTTATGATTACTTGGATTTAAACTATACACCAAATGTGAGGTATTACGCACAGTTCGCACATATGCTAATAAGAGACTAATCAATTACAGTCTTAAACATCAATGAAAACATTCAAACAAACAATACCAAGTGAGTTTATGTGTACAAGTATTTAAGAACTGGCAATACTACACTAATATACACAAACGGAGATAGAGTAGAGTTTGAGAGATGTTCTTCTATTCTAATCGTTAATTTATTCAAATATTATATGATCATACAAGTATTAAAGTGATCTTGTTTAGTTCAGATCAATTTCTTGATTTTATGACAGAATGAATTATACATTTGACTTAAGAATTATGGAGTTTTCATTCTGTTATTTAAACTTATTATGGATAAACATGTTACTAACTGCCCATTTCCAATTAATTATTGAGTTAATATTGTACAGAAATCAGTTAAAATACTGACAATTAACTGACTGGTTTATTGATGAGTTATTGGTTGTTTTACAACCCTGACTTTCATAATTGGTTTTCAATCTTTTTATTGGACAAACGATTGATGAAACATTTTCTGTAAGTATTTGTTGAAATGATACATTTGAATGGAGTATTGTTCTCTGAGTTGGATGGTTTAGTCGTGAAGCTTTAATCGTTCTTCTGAACGACATTATCAGTCGCACAAACTTCAGGTAGAAGTGAAGTGTTCAAATTTCTCCACATGTGGTTCACAGCTTGTCCTGTATACCTTGATGTTGATTGGTTCTTGTTGAAGAAATTCGAACACTTCACTTCTACCTCAAGTTTGTGCTACTGATGATGTCGTTCAGAAGAACTATGAAAGCTCTACGATCAAGCCATTCAGTACAGAGAACAAACCTCCATCAATATCATCCACCTGAGCCACCAATCTTCCCCACCATCTAAAATTATACCTATTAATTAGAGTTCTGAAGGTTAAACTGCTGACCGAAGAAAACGATTATTTGGAATATATATTGCTTGTTTGTTTTATTGTACATAACCTGATAGTAATATTGCTATTAATACTATTATGGTAAAACTTTATTCCAGAAAGATGTTTTGTGGATATTGTAGTAATTTAATAGTTGAATTCATGAGTCAATTAAAGCTAGACCACCATGGAAAACCTGAAAGCACTGGACAACTGTTTCATCCTAGTATAAGACTCCTCAGCAGTGCGCACTCACTATCCTGCATGTAAGACCGGAACGAAGAACCTTCGGTCTTACACGCAAACGCTTAACTTCTAGACCACTGAGCTGGGTCAATGGAGTCCAGTTCATTCAGGTTTTTCATGGTGCTTTAGCTTTAGTCGAATCATGAATTCAACTGTTAAATTACTACATTATCCACAAACCCCCTTTCTGATAATATACACCATATACTCACTAGCGATTGGCTACAGGAAGTACTTCTTGTAGTTCTAGTGAGAAGCTGTGATCGGTGGAATTCAATCGTGTCTGTTGTGTGACAGTGACTCACTGAAGACAATAGCAGACGGTGGTGAGATATCATGTATGGGTTGAAGTTAGATATTAACATAGTTTTATGCTGTCTCAGTAGTCTAGAGATTAAACGTTCCCGTTCATTACCGAATTCCCGGGGTTCGAGTCCCACGTGTGGGATCGTGAATGCATACTGTTGAGGAATCCCATACTAATACGAAACGTCTGTCCAGTGCTTCCAAGTTTTCAGTGGTGGTTTAGCCTAGGTCAACGCATGAATTCAACAATTAAAATTAACTTGTTGAAATATCTGGATCAAGTAGCCCAGATATTCAAACAGGAGGCCAATAACCATGACAGATATTGGTTACTTTGATGATTTGCAAAAAAAACAGTCATGATTAATTAAGCGAATAAAAGATTGTAAGACATTGATCTAACTAGGATATCAATTACTGATAACACTCACATCACTTGTTATGTTTTAGTTTAGGGATATCATGCTTACTGATAAACTTAAAGCTTTAAGACTTGATCTCTTATTTTACAATACATCCACTTATAACACAGTGCAAAACTAAATTGACAAAGAGTCTAATGAATATTGTTTTCTGGAGTTCTTCAGTTGATGATAGTTCTTAACAATAAACATTGATTGTACATCCAAAGAGATATATCAGGTGATAAAATGAACATATTGAATGTCGGATTTGTCGTTCAATGTTTACTAGTATTAAGGTCCTCATTCAATCAAAGAACTTTCCTTTATGGAATTGTTTATTTCAATAGTAAATCTTTCTAATTGATATTCATTCTATTTTATTTATTAGTGCACAAACTATGCATATAATATGGTATTTTCTCTCAATTCAAAATACATTTCAAGACTATAGGATATTAAACATTCCCATCAGAGCATTAAAACCACAAATTGAATGAAGAAATACTGCAATGATGGGAAAGATTTGTCGCTCAGGTGGTTGATTTTGGTGAAGTTTCGTTCTCTGAGCTGGATGGTTTATTTGTGAAGCTTTCGTTGATCTTCCGAAGAATATAATCAACGAAATATTCAGGTAGAAGAGAAGTATTAGAATTTCCTAATATGCGACTAACAGCTTGTCTTGTCAACCTTTAAAATTGATTGGTTAATGATGACCTGTAACCTTTCATTATCCGCCTATTTATCTTGATTCTTACACTTGATTTATTTATTATCTATCCCGTTAGGTAGTTGGTTGGTGGTCTGCATCATACACTTGTTGGGAGAACATGCTAACGTAGACATTCTTGGAGAATGTGAAGTTCTTCTCGAGTGGAAGAAATATTGCTTTTGGCTTAGTAGCACATTTCAAGATTCATCAGTAATCAATAATTTTCCAGTTAAGATTAAAATCACTATTAAATATTAAATGGTAGTCAATCAATTCAACAATGTTTTCTCTAAAACAATAACCAGTTAATATGGTGGTTGGAGGTAGTCAACAGGAAACCTTGGACCCGAGTTTCGTGCTACTTGGCACTCGTCAGCAAGGTGTACGTGTAATCTTGAGGAAACTGATGCTCCCTGACGGAATCGATCCCGTATCACCCAGCTTCACTGTCAGAGACGTTACTACTGGGCTATCCGGGCCGCGACCGACCTCCTGTAGGACTGAGATGTTTACTGGGTAATGATCAATGTCATGTGTGTCACGTGCTTATTAATACAGATCGAATGCTATCGACCAAGTTGTAATATGGCCACTAGTCTAGCATGAAATCCGTGTCCAGGCTTTCTTGTTGACTATCTCCAACCACCATCTAATCTCAATGTACAGTACACGAATTGTCGAATCACCTAGACTAGTAGTCACATTGCAACTTGGTCGATTGCATTCGATCTGCACTAAGAAGGACTTGACACACATGACATTGATCACCAGCCAGTGATCAACCAGTTGTGACTGTAACCAGTTAGCTATTCAGTAGATGTAAATAATGTAACAGTTCTGAAGACAAGTATATGTAATCGAGTAGTTACATAAACTCGTCACGTAACAATTACATAAGAGTGAGTAATTATGAAATGAAGCATTTGAATAAGAAATGTTTGGTGTTGTTAGTAAATATGAGTAATATCAATTTGTTAAATAATCCGATTGTTAAGATTGATTGATAGATAGATAAATCACGTAAAATGAAGTTTTACACTGAAATAGAATATAAGTGAA